AAAATTAAACCAGGAGTAAATAGACCTGATTTCTAATTCCAAATTCGCAACTACATAAATGTGTGACCTTAAGCCATTGTTTAAATTCATTTGGAATTCATTTTCCACATATTTGAAAAGAAGCTGCATTCAACAGAGCATGTACTTTGTAATTTTGTGATAAATTATCTCTATAAAACCCCCCTAGATTAGTATTTCTTTTTTTTTTAATTTTTTTTTATTTATTTCTAGGAGAGAGAGAGAGACAGCGTGAGCAGGGGAGGGTCAGAGAGAGAGGGAGTCACAGACTGAAACAGGCTCCAGGCTCTGAGCTGGCAGTCAGCACAGAGCCCGACGCGGGGCTCGAACCCACGAACCGCGAGATCATGACCTAAGCGAAAGCCGGACGCTTAACCGACTAAACCACCCAGGCGCCCCTAGATTAGTATTTCTCCACCTGCCTAACATTTGGCAATCTCTGGAGACATTTTTCATTGTCACAACTAGGAAGGTGTGTTACTGGCATCACATGCCCTGCTAAACATCTTACAATGCACAGGATGGCTCCCACAACAAAGAATGACACCCACCAAAAATGACACTAGTGCTGAGATTGAGGAACACTGCTCTAAAATTATGATTTTATTATTCCAGTTTAAGTGGTAGTCTTTGATTTTGTCTGTAGGAGCCTGATCATTTTGTGTTCTTAGCCTAATACAGGATGTACTAGCCTGATGGAGGAAAAAGAAGGGGGAGGTATCCTGTAAGTCAGGATAATTTTTGAAAATGTTTTCAGGACTTGTAAGAAGTATTGTATCTTTATTATGAAGAAAACAATTTTTAATATAGACACCTCCAGGAACAGCCTTGTAGATGTATTCTTGTTATAGAGACTTTTTCTTTAGGGTTTCTGGAAAAAATAGTTTTGTAAAATAGCATATGCTATGACATCCATCTAATCAATAATAATAGGGGAAAATAAACCAAAATAGCTTGATAGAAGGACCTTGCAGTTTGTATGTCTTTGTATTAGTAACTTCTCTGAATTCAAAAAAAGTTTATATTATACTTGTTGATCAGTTCATTTCAACTTTCTTCCCATACCACCTATTGGAATATACTAATTCACTTGAGTTCCATACATAATTTACCTAAAATACATCAGACAAACTGGAATGCCTGGGTGGCTCAGTCAGTTAAGCATCTGACTTCAGCTCAGGTTATGATCTCATGGTTCATGAGTTTGAGCCCCACATCAGGCTCTCTGCTGTCAGTGCAGAGCCTGCTTTGGATCCTCCATCCCCCTATCTCTCTTCCCCCTCCCTGCTTGCATGCTCTCTCTCTCTCTCAAAAATAAATAAACATTTTATTAAAATAAATAAAAATAGTCAAATAACTTACATCAGACAGTAGCTTAAAATGCATCCTCAACATTTCTAAAGATCTTGGCATGTAATAAGCTATTAAACTTTCAGGTATTTTCTTCCTGTGATAACATAGCTGATTGTTTCATGCCTTTCACCATTAGATGTCATTGGCACCACCATTACCACAACCACCACCATCATCATAGACCTACTGTTCTATGCACTTTATGAGTATATACCATTTTTCCTCACAAAAATCCTATGAGGTAGTTTTTTTTTATTCCTGTTTTGCAGATAAAGAAAAGAGGTATAATAAAGTAGTAAAATACTTGCTAAGCCATATTTTCATATTTAACCTTTTATTGCATATAAAAACTATTTCATATTTTAACAATGGAGAAAATATTTATTGCTAAATCTGTAAACATTCATGTCTCTAATTTTCTGCCATCCTAGGTAATAGCAACTAAAGCCTAAGTTATTTCCTAACAACCAACACCACAGAAATGCAAAATGAATTATAAGATAATATTATGAAAAACCATTATGTGAACAAATTAGAAAACCTGGGTGAAATGGATAAATTCCTGGAAACATATAAACTACCAACCTGAAACAGGAAGAAATAGAAAACTAGAAGAGACCAATAACCAGCAAAGAAATTGAATCAGTAATGAAAACAAATCCCAACAAATCAAAATACAGGGCCAGATGGCTTCACAGGCAATACATGTAAAGAAGAATTAATACCTATTCTTCTCAAACTATTCCAAAAACTAAAAAAGGAAGGGAAACATCCAAATTTATTCTATGAGGCCAGCATTGCCCTGATACCAGAACCAGATAAAGGCTCCAGTAAAATAGCTGCAAGCCAATATCCCTGATGAAGATGGATGCAGAAATTCTCAATAAAATACTAGCAAATTGAATCCAACAATAGATTTTAAAAAATCATTCAACAGGATCAAGTGGGATTTATTCCTGGGTTGCAAGGGTGATTCAGTATTCTCAAATCAATCAATGTGATACACCACATTAATTAAAGAAAGAATAAGAACTATATGATCCTTTCAATAGAAACAAAAAAGAATTTGACAAAGTACAATATCCATTCATGATAAAAGCCCTCAATAAATAGGTTTAGAGTGAACATACCTCAACATAGTAAAGGCAATATATGAAAAACCCACAGATAATATCACCTTCAATGGGGGAAAACTGAGAGTTTTTCCTCTGCAGTCAGGAAAGAGAGAGGGATGTCCACTCTCACCACTGTTATTTAACATAGTACTGGAAGTCATAGCCACAACAATGAGACAACAAAAAGAAATAAAAGGCATCCAAATTAGCAAATAAATAAAACTTTCAGTATTTGCAGATGACATGATACTATATATAGAAAACCAGAAGACACCAAAAAACTGCTAGAACCAATAAACTAATTCCAATAAACGAATTCAGGAAAGTCACAGGATACAAAATCAATCTGAAGAAATCTGTTGCATTTCTATACACCAATAACCAAGCAACAGAAAGAGAAATTAATAAATCAGTACCATTTACAGTTACACCCAAAACAATAAGATACTTAGAAAAAAAAACTTAACCAAAGAAGTGAAAGACCTATACTCTGAAAACCATAAAACACTGATGAAAAAAAACTGAAGATGACACAAAGAAATGAAAAAACATTCCATGCTCATGGATTGAAAAAAACAAATATTGTTAAAATGTTTATACTACCCAAAGCAATCTCCATGTTTTATGTAATCCCTATCAAATACTAGCAGCAGTTTTTACAGAACCTAGAACAAACAATCCTAAAATTTGACTGGAGCCACAAAGGACCCTAATAGCCAAAACAACCTTGAGGATGAAAAGCAAACCTGGAGGCATCACAATTTTGGACTTCAAGTTATAAAACAAAACAGTAGTAATCAAAACAGTATGGTACCGGCACAAAAATAGACACATAAATCAATGGAGCAGAGAACCCAGAAATGAATCCACAACTATATGGTCAGTTAATCTTCCACAAAGCAGGAAAGAATATCCAATGGGAAAAAGACAGTCTTTTCAAAGAAAGTCTCTTCTCTTTTGTTCTAGCAGAAAAAGTGTTGGGAAACTGGGACAGCTACATGCAAAAGAATGAAACTGGACCACTTTCTTATACCATACACAAAAAGTAAATTTAAAATGGATGAAAGACCTAAATGTGAGACAGGAATCCATTAAAATCATAGAGAATAAAGGCAGTAATGTCTTTGACATCATCTGTAGCAACTACTTTCTAAATATGTCTCCTGAGGCAAGGGAAACAAAAACAAAAGTAAACTATGGGGACTTCATCAAAGTAGAAAGATTCTACACAGTGAAGAAAATAATCAACAAAACTAAAAGGAAACCTACATAATGGGAGAAGACATTTGCAAATAACATATCTGATAAAAGGTTAGTACCCAAAATATGTAAGAAATTATAAAAATTCACACCAAAAAAAATGAATAATCCAGTTAAAACAGAGGCAGAAGGCATGAATAGGCATTTTCTCAAAGAAGACATACAGATGGCTGACAAACACATGAAGAGATGCTCAACATCAGTCATCAGGAAAATATAAATCCAAACTAGAATGAGGTATCCTCTCACACCTGTCATTATTGCTAAAATGAACAACACAAGAAACAACAGGTATTGGTGAGGATGTGGAGAAAGGAGAACCCTCTTGCATTCTTGGTGGGAATGCAAACTGGTGCAGTTACTCTGGAAAACAGTATCGAGGTTCCTCAAAAAGTTAAAAATAGAACTACCCTAGGATCCAGCAATTGCAGTACTAGGTATTTACCCAAATAATTTAAAAAAATACTAATTCAAAGGAATACTTGCATCCTGATGTTTATAGCAGCATTATCTACAATAGCAAAATTATGTAAACAACCCAAGTGTGCATCAGTTGATGAATGGATAAAGAAGAGGTGATATATATATTTACACACACACACACACACACACACACATCTATCTATCTATCTATCTATCTATCTATCTATCTATAATGGAATATTACTTAGCGATGAAAAAGAATAAAATTTTGCCATTTGCAACAACATGGATGGAGCTAGAGAGTGCTATGCTAAGTGAAAAAAGTCAGAGAAGGGAAAATACCATGATTTCACTCAAATGTGGAAGTTAAGAAATGAAACAAATGAACAAAGGCTGGGGAGAGAGTGAGGTAAGCCAGAAAACAGACTCTTGACTATAGAGAACAAAATGAGGGCTGCTGGAGGGAAGGTGAGATGGATGAAATTGTTGATAAGGAATAAGTATGCACCTGTTGTGATGGGCACTGGCTATTGTATGGAAATGTTGAATCACCATGTTGTACACCGAAAACTAATATTACACTGTATTTTAAACAACTAGAATTTAAATTAAAAACTAAAAAACATAAAACTTGAGTTATTTCCAGTTATTTTTAAAAAGAAATGTCTTAGAATTATTTGTTTCTCTCTAAAATATATACATGGACATTGAAGTTGCTATATTTTACCATCTCTGAGCACCCACATGCATGCATGTGTATATATCATTTTTAACTTGCCCAGCTTCTTCAACATATGAGTAATGGAAGGATTTGTGTTTAACTTTGTACAGGAAGCAGTGAAAGAAAACAACAAGAGAAAAGAAATGGAAGAGAAGACTAGGAGGGCAAAGCTTGCAAAAGAGAAAGCTGAACAAGAAAAGTTAGAACGCCAGAAGAAAAAGAAACAACTTATTGATATAAACAAAGGTATAAGTACTTTAATTTTTTTAAAGATACATAAAATAATTTTATTTAATTAAGTTTGGATTATAAAGTAAGTAATTGTGTCTTTGGTAGAAATTTCATAATATTATTAGTTATTTGTGTCAATTTTCTCTCATTATCTATATTTCTTATCACCCTACACTGAGCACACAGAATTTTTGAGAATCAGTGCAAGGTAATGTATCGTTGAAATGGTCTCTTTCCCTTCATTTATTTTATCAAATTATGTCATATTATATTCTGGATGATGCAATGGTGAGGAAAGAAGAGGGTGAGATGAAAAGAGAAAACACAGTATGGGAGATGAGCTCTATGCCTCTAATCTCATTTTGTTGACCATGTCTGGTGACATTGCAAATAATAACAGTTTTCCTTGGGGCTTTGAACATTTCAAGTCATAATAGATGTTGACAGCAGTACTTTAAGTTGAAAAAAAATACAGAGACATCTTTTTCAACTGTGAGCCTCAGAACAAAGATGCTGTATGTCATCATATAAAGTAAGTTGTTTTCTTGGTTAACAAGACTGGCTATATATTATTGGTGGGGGATTTGCTTTTGTTTTCTTTTTTTTTAGGAAGAAAGGATAAATAAAGTGATTGTCACCAAGTAGCTATACTCTGAAAATTCAAGAAAAATTAAGAAAAAAGCATAGCCTTAACACTGACAGTTAGAAAATTTAAAAGCAAAATAAAATCTGAATAAGATATAAGAACATGATTAATATGGACCACGTATTTCTTAATATAATGACAATAAAAATTGCAAGCACTGTGTAATGTTGACCATGTTGACCATGTGCCAAGTACTGTTCTAAGACTTTGACATGTTTTAAGTCAGTTAAGTCTCATAACATAAGAGGTAGGTGCTGTTATTACCTCATCCAATTAAGGAAACTGAGGTTCATAGAAATTAAGAACTTGCCCAAGATCACACACAAAAAAAGCGTTAACACCAAGATTAGAATCCAAGTAGTCTGGCTATAGAATCTTTGCACTTAAATACTGTTGTCAAATAATAATAACTAGCAACAACTACTAACATGTGGCCCTATGTACCAGGAACTGTTGCAGGAGTTTTACATATATGAACATCTAATCCTCATAAAACCCTATTAGGAAAAGGCTAGTATCTCATTTTTAATGAGGAAACTGAGGGACACAGAAGTTAAGTAACTTACCCAAGTTCACAAAGACAGGAAAAGGTAGAATCAAGATCTGAATCTAGGCAGTCTGAGACCAAATTTGATTATGATTATTTTTATTATAACTTTAATTATAATTATAACCATTACCAATTATTCTGTAGTAATGTCTCTTAATGGCTAATATTCTGAAACGGTATCTATACCATTAAGTTTATTCTTTATACCTTAAAAATCTATAAAAATTTTCAGGAATTTCCTATAGATTATCTTTTCTATCCCACAAAATAAATTTCATTTTAAAAGAAGAAAAAAGGGGCACCTGGGTGGCTCAGTTTGTTAAGCGTCTGGCTTCAGCTCAGGTCATGATCTCATGGTTCATGGGTTCGAGCCCTGCATCGGATTCTGTGCTTGTAAGGACACAAGTCTAAACGTCTAAACCAAACTGTCTCCATGACAGGCTTTAAGTTTCCCCTCTAAACTAGAAGGCCTAAGTTTCAGCTTTCCCGAAACTATCAGGCAGTTACACATTGCCCAAGGCAGGAGAAACCACCTTTGCAACACCCAATCAGGAAAGGCCAGCGACCACCCTCCACATTACTAAAGGAGAGGCCTGGAGATAGAAACTATAGATAGGACACTGTTACCTAAAGTTAAAGTTAACCTGTTAGTCTCCGAACAAGACCCTAGGCTCGCTCTGTGATTAGTTGAATTTAAAGGTACTCTAAATGTTGTAATTGGATCCCACCAAAAGTAACGAATACTCTAGACAATGTGTATGGTTAAACCCGCTGTCAATAATGTTGAATAATTATGATTGGATCACTGTTCCCATGTCACAACTTCTGTAACTCCCCCATCACAAACCCCATAAAAACCCTACTCACCCTTTGTTCAGGGCTCTCAGCACGGATCCACTGCATTGGTGAAGTCTGGGAGCCTGAGCTCGAGCCCATAATAAAGCCCTTTGCCTTTGCATGCGTGACTCGGTCTCCCCGGTGGTCTCTGGTCGTTGAGGATACTGAGATCTGGGTATAACATGCTGACAGTTCAGAGCCTGAAGCCTCTTTCAGATTCTGTGTCTCCCTCTCTCTCTGGCCCTCCCCCACTCGTGCTCTGTCTTTCTCTGTCTCAAAATTAAATTTAAAAAAAACAAAAAAATTAATTAATTAAAAAAGAAGAAAAAAGTTAAAAACCAAGTTTAAAAAGAGTAGCATCAACATAATTTAGCAAACAAACTTCATAATTAGGATCAAAAGAATTGTTCCTGACTGAAGATACTCAATTAGGAAAAGCAATGAGAATTCATAGGAGGTTCTCACTTAAAAGGTGATGGAGTCAATAGAATAGGACTAAAAATTATTCCCTTTTGTGCATGGACTAGTAGTGAGATAAGAGTCTGGAAGAAGGGGTGCCTGGATGGCTCAGTTGGTTAAGCATCTGACTCTTGGTTTCAGCTCAGGTCATAATCTCACTGTTCATGGGATTGAGACCTGTATTCGGACAGAGCACACTTGGGATTCTCTCCCTCTCTCTCTGCCCTTTCCCCACTCATGCTCTCTCTCTCTCTTGCTCTCTCACTGTCTCGCTCTCTCTCCCAAAAATAATAAACTTGGGGTGCCTGGTGGCTCAATCAATTACGTGTCTGACTTCAGCTCAGGACATGATCTGGTGGTTCATGAGTTCGAGCCCCACATTGGGCTCCATGCTGACAACTTTGGAGCCTGGAAACACCTTCTGATTCTGTGTCTCCCTCTCTCTCTCTGTTCCTCCCCCACTCATACTATGTCTCTTTCTCAAAAATAAAATAAAGCATTAAAATTTTTTAATAAATAAATAAGTAAACAAACTTAAAAAAATGGGGGTCTGGAAGAAGTAGGGAGCAGATGGTGCATTCCCTTGGCTATGCTTAGGCCTTTACCCTGAAAACTATGGGAAGCCTATGCATATTTATAAATGGAAAAGTGATATGCTTGATAGATTTCTTAGAAAGATCATTTTGAGAGAAGCATAGAGAATGGATTGGAAAGAGACGGGACTGTGACAACAGAGGTTCTAAAGTTATTATCATAATCCTGACAAGAGATGATGGCAGCCTGAATTAATTCAGTAGTATTAAAGTTAGAGAAATTACCAATAAGAGGTATATTTGAATTCTATAGGATGTGGATATATAGAGACAGATTTATTTAAAGGAACTGGCTCTTGTGATTATAGAAGCTGCCAAGTCCAAAGCCTGCAGAGTAGGATGTCAGGATGGATCCAGGGAAGAGTCAGTGTTCCAGTTGAAGTCTGAAGGCAGTTGGCTTGCAGAATTCCTTCTCACTCAGGGGAAGTCAATCTTTTTTTTTTTTTTTTTTTTTATGTTTCTTTATATTTAGAGAGAAAGAGACAGAGGAGAAGGGCAGAGAGAAAGGGAGACACAGAATCAGAAGCAAGGTCCAGGCTCTGAACTATCCGCTCAGAGCCCAATGTGGGGCTCGAACCCACAAACCTTGATATCATGACCTGGGCAGAGAAGTTGGACAATTAACTCATTGAGCCACCCAGCACCCCAGGGGAGGTCAAACTTTTGATCTATTCATGACTTAGGCTGGTTGGATGAGGCCCACCCACATTTTGGAGAGCAATCCATTTTATTCAAAATCCACTTATTTAAATGTTAATCTCATCCCAAAACACCCTCACAGAAACATTCAGAATTGTGTTTGAATAAATATCTGGGCACTGTGGCCCAGTCATGTTGACACATAAAATTAACCATTAACAGAGGGGTATTAAATGGTAGAACTGATTGACCTCACTCGATTAGATGTGGAAATTGAAGAAAGGAGGCATTAAAGGTGATATCCTTCATAAAGAATAATAGTAATAGAGCAGATTTCATCAGTAAGGTTACAATGATTTGTGTCATTTTGAATATGTTTCATTCTCAGATGTTTTAGAAAGATCAGAAATGTCTATGTATCCATTGTATATGTGTGTATGAAACTCAGGAAAGAGGTTTAGACTAGACAGACAGACTTAAAAATCATTGGTTTTAGATGATTAAGTTTAGGGTATATTAGTTTGCTTAGGCTTCTGTAAAAAAGTACCACAAGCTAGATGGCTTTGAACAATAGAAATTTATTGTTTCACAGTTCTAGAGGACAGAAGGTGTACACAGGGCAGTGCTCTTTCTGAAGATACTAGGGAGGGGTTTGTTCGAGCCTCTCTCCTAGCTTCTGGTAGTTCCTTGGTTGTAGCCACATAACTTTGATCTTGGCATTCTCCCTGTGCATGTCTGTCTCTTCACATGGTGTTCTTTTTATTAGGACACCAGACATATTGGATTCAGGGTCCAACATACTTCAGTATGACCTCAGCCTAATTAACTAGACAGTTCAGTCCATAACATGAGTTTGAATGAGATCACTAGGATAAAATATGAAAAAGAGGTTCTGAAAGTATTTGGTCTCAGAACGTATTTACACTTTTAAAATGTAACTTACTATGGACCCTCAATACTTTTTGCTTTCTTCGGTAATATATATTGACATTTATCATGCTAGAATTAAAACAGACATAATAAATAAAATTATGTAAGATAAATCATTTTAAATTATTCACTATATTAAAATAACAAACCTATTACATACTAAATAACACTTTTCATGAAAAGTAGCTTCATATATCTAACCCCCATGCCCCCCAAATATTAGTAAGAAGAGAAAATTTATTGTTGTAAATTTCTTCAAAGTCTGGCTTAATAAAAGACAGCTTGATTCTCACATTTGCTTTTACATTCAATCTAATAAAATATCATTTGTTACATAACTTCTGGAAGACACTATACATTC